CACGCTCCCTCTCGCAGCCTGAGATCATCTAATCAAAGGCTGTTGGTAGTCCCACGAACTCGTTTTAAGACCAGAGGTGATAGATGTTTCAGAGTGGTGGCCCCCAGGTTGTGGAATGCTCTCCCTCCATCATTACGTTGCCTTGATTGTATTTATTCTTTTAAAAAGCAGCTTAAGACTCATTTATTTAAATTGGCTTTTCATTAGATTTGTGCTGTGTGTTTGATTATTAATGTATTTTATGTATTTCTGTTTTATATTACTGTGAAGCACTTTGTGGTTTTTATCCTGTGAAAAGTGCTATATAAATAAATTGATTTGATTTGATTTGATAATGTTCCAGTCCAGAACTCAGCCCGAGTGAAATGCTTTTTGGGGACCTTTTCTGGGACCTTAAGAGAGATGTCCCGAAGTAAATTCCCACGGTCCTCAATGAACTAAAGCAAAGAAGAGTGGGACAAAACAAAAAAATGTAAGAGATTAAAAGTTTTACAGAAAGTGGCAATTCGATCCTCCTAAAGTGTTCCATTTTCATGTAAGTTTGTGACTTTTTTCACGTCTTTTTTCAAAGGTTTTAGTATCCTAAACTGTAATTTTACCACTGATCCTGGTCTTTGTTGCCTTTTTGGCACCAAACTGTTCCTCCTGAGCTTTAGACTAACACAAAAGCAAATTGTTGCTACAGTTGCCTTTCCTCAGATGCATATTTGCCAGTGACAATTAATTGTTTATAAGTGTAGATTTTGAGGATATGTTAATAGTTTGTTTTTTACCCCACACACTGTCAGTATGTATTTATTTGTATGCCCGTTTCCTTGAGTCAGATCCTCAGAGCTTGAGCGTGGTTTTGCCAGATACTCACGCTGATCCCTCTACTGGCTGCTGAATGATAGGCATCTCTTCCATGGCTGTGTGACAGACGGACAGAGATAGAGCTGTGTTTGAACAGTAAACAAACTTGCTGTACCGAAAACACACAAAAAAGAGAAGAGCAGAAGCTAACAGAACATTTGTGTTTGTCTTTCTCCCATTGCCTCCTCACCCGGGGCATGCCTCCACATTGGACTCAGTGTGTGTGTGTGTGTGTGTGTGTGTGTGTGTGTGTGTGTGTGTGTGTGGTCATTGTGGCGAATGATCTGATAAGAAGGAGCTAATCCTGTTGATCCTCTGTGGTCGGTCACCAGTCTTCACTCAAAAGGGAAAATTAGATGTTGTGCCTCTCCAACTGCATGTTTTTGGGTTTGTGACTCGTACTGTGTTTGAATGGAAATGATAATTTGCTCTTTAACTACAAGCAAACTGATATTTAGATGTATACTCATCTGACACTTTATTAGGTTGACCTTGCTGGTACTGGGTTGGAGCTTTTTACCTTTAGAGCTAGCTTAAATTCTTAATGGAATAGATTCAACAAGGTGCTGGAAACATCCCTCAGAGATTTTGGTCCATATTGAAATGATAACATCAAACAGTTGCTCCAGATTTCCTAACTGCACATCCGTGATGCAAACCTCCCATTCCACTACATCCCAAACATGCTCTATTGGATCGTGATCCAGTGACTGTGGCAGTCATTTGAGTATGTTGTATTCAAGAAACCAGTTTGAGAAGATCTGAGCATGACATAACAAATTGTCCTCCTAGAAGCAGCCATTGCAAATTGAGTACTCTGTGGACACAATGGGATGTACATTGTCAGCAATAATACTCAGATAGGCTGTGGCGGCTAAATAATGCTCAGTTGGTACTAAGGAGCCCAAAGTGTCCCAAGAAAATACCCCCCCGCACCAATACACCACCAGCACCTGAACTGTGTATACAAGCCAGGATGAATCCATGCTTTCATGTGGCTCACACCTAATTTTGACCCTACTGTCTTAATGTTGTTGTGACTCAATGAATTAGAGGTGGTTGGGCAGAAAATTCCCAATAGATCAGCGTTCTCCAAAATGATCAAAATAGCACAACATAACAACCGTGCCACATTTAGGTCACTAAAATCTTTTTTTTTCCGATTCCGATACTCCGTTTGAACTTCACCAGGCTCTCTCCAATGCATTTAGGCGTCTACATGCCTAAATGCATTGACTTGCTATCATGTGGTTGGCTGATTGGATAGTTGGGTTAGTGAACAGTTGAAAAAAGTGGCCTGTGCGTACATGATGCAGCTCATGTCCACTGCCTGAACTAGCTTTCAGAACAAAAGAAGAGAAAACAATCCAATACACAATGTGTTTGGGATCCTGTATCATCACTGCCTCTTGTTGTCAGCCACAGCTCCAGTTGACTGATACTGCTGACAATTATCAGACTCACCATTATGACTCATGTGAAAAGGTTGGATAATCGTCACCCCTGGACGGACTTGCTTTGGGTACTCAATTAGAAATATTTTCTCTCTGAGCTGCAGAGACATTAGTAAACACCATTAGCTGAGTTCAGAGATAAAAACCAGGACATCACATCAGTTCTAAACTTAGGCAAACTGGTTTTCATCATATAGAAACTAAGTACCTGAAAACTGGGACTTTTCATTTAATTCTTTCAAAAAATATTTTGCTGTTTTAGTTACTTTGAGAAGCAGGATGAGAATGTAATTTCATTTTATATATGTGAGAGTATCCACACTATATATCCATAATAATATACCAAAGGTTTCCATTAACACAAGGCTGGTTAATGAGGAAATGTCAATTGAGCGGCAGTTTTTAATGTTACTGCATTATCTTTCAACTACAATCTTTGGGAACTTAATCATCAAATGCCAAAAATGACTTGATGATGCTCTTTAAGTAGGTTTCTTTAGGCTGTACGAAGTATTCACTCTGACAATATTTCCAAAAGCACCACAATGTGCTTTATAAATGGACTGGCTTTGTGATTATAAGTAATCTTTACATGTGTTGGTTGATATCTACAGTTAAAAGCCTGATAAATGTATGTTTCTACATAATTTGGAAACAGTAGAAGTATCCCAGCTGCCTTCATTTGAAATATAAACATACAAATGTTGCTGCTGTTTTGTTCGGCTTGCTTCAGTGGGTTACAAACACACCAGTGGAGCCAGACATGCACACTAAATCACAAAATATCTTCACTTGTGCTATGTAGAGCTTTTTTTTAATTTTAATTTTGATTTGTACTCTAAATAAACGGTCCTTGCAAAAACAAATGCTACAATTCTCCCTTTTCCATTTTGAAGTATTTTCTCTGTTTGCTCCCTTTCTCCCATTCCCCCGTCCTCCCTCTTTTCCAGGGGAACTTTGTGCCTTGCTTTGACAGCAGTTCCCCTTTTTTCTGATTTCCCATGCCTTCTTCCTCTCATATTCCCACTGACTTTTCCACAAAAGCTCTCCTCTGGTGGTTTCTGCCAGCAGAGCTATGATACATTTGTGTTTGCCTTGACCTCAACTCATCCTTCAAACATGGAACTTAAAATCTCACTCTATATGACATACAGTAAGTGACATTAGCCGTTAGAAACAGAAGCACATTTACAGTGGGGTGAAAAAGAAAGTACTCCATCTTTCACTTCTAAGGTTTTATGTATCTGAGCATAATTAAAAAAAAGAATCGCTGACCTCAGATGACCAGAATGACATGATATATTTCATCATATCAGTGTTTATTTAAAAAAAAAAAAGTAAGGCAAAATGCAGAAGCAGTGTGTGAAAAACTAACTACACCTTTACTGCTTCCACAGGAATTAAGAGAGTAATCATCATCAGCAAGTGTGGACATCTCTATAAAGGCAGAAGTTTTGGCAGTTTGCTGTTCTGGTGTGTGTTAACACAATGCCAAGTAGGAAAGACATCAGCAGTGATGAATGAGAAGCCATTGGAGCTCAGTCAGGGAATGGTTATATGGCCATTTCTTCCATTACTCTATTGTGAGTTGCATTCTTCCTAGAAGTGGACATTCCAGCAAATTCCCACCATGGTCAGATTGTGCAGTGCTCAAAGAAACTCCCAAAAAAGTTTTTGATAATACAATTGGAAAATATTGCACAAGTATGTCTTGTTTGCCAGGAGAAAGCCTCTTTTCTCTAAAAAGAACTAGACAGAGCTTAGGTTTGCAAAGTTACATCTGAACAAATCACAAGCCTTCTGTCCTTTGGACATACAAGACCAGTGTATAGATGTCTGTATATAATGCAACTAAAACCCAGAATATCAAGACAAATACCTCATACCACCACCATGCACAGTGGTGCTGGGGTGACTACAGGACCTGGGCTCCTTGCAGTCATTAAATCGACCAAGAACTCGTCTGTATACCAACGTATTCTAGAGTCAAACGTGAGGCAATCTGTCTGACAGCTGAAGCTTGGCGTACCTTGAGCTATGCAGCAGAACAATGACCCAAAGCACAGCAGCAAATCTGCGAGAGACAGTCCAGACCAGCTGAAATGCTGTGGCAGGACAGCACAGCATGTCCACAAACGTCAATGAACTGGAGCAATGCAGTAAAGAAGAGTGGGCCAAAATTCCTCCTGAACGAGAGACTGATAAAGTCGTACAGCAAATTATTACTTCAAGTTTATGCTGCTGATCTACTGAATCACGGGGTGGACTTAGTTTTTCAGACACTGCTTCTGGCTTTTTGGGTCAGTGTTTTTTAAATAAATAATGACATGTGCGTTGTTGTGCATCCAAGGTACTAAATAATTTTAGATATGTATACATATAAACACACATAAAACCTTAGAGTTAAAAGAGGGATACTTTCTTTTTCACATGACTGTATGTACTGTATGTACAGGCTGGGGTGCTTCCCTTTGACCTCTGCTGAAGGGAGAAAAATCGCTAAAAAGAATTCATCTTCCATGATTACCATGAAAAAAAAATAGGGCTTTTAAATGACCTCATTTAACATGTCAGCTTTCTTTCTGCCTCTGCCTATAGCATTGTAGATGTGAAGTGTATATGAAGTTTACTTTAAGACTGTCTGACTTAAGGCTTAACTAACGTGTACTAAAGGCACCTCTGTCTAATTTTCAGATTGTCCTTCCTGCCAAACCGGAGCTACAGCGACAATGGACGGACAATTCTGGCCAATGAGCAGGAATCCCAGGACTCTCTTGGACCTCTATGAGGATGACTATTTTAAAAACAGAACTGTGATGAACCTTGAGATGGACTTCTTCAAATAATAGTGATCGTGTCCCTTCTGGATATTCGAGCTATGATAATGCATCATCATTGTCTGATTTACTTTACTTACTGGTCCTGTCCATGGATCTCTAAAGATGTTCATTACTCAAGTGTGGAGCATCAGAACAGACTTGTTTGTTATAAAATAGTTGGATCAAGGAACTGTGCAAATGTTTCCAGGCATGCTCTTATTATAAAGCCCAAAGAACTAGTCTGGATCCTGGGATCAGCGAACTGCAAGCCCATCCATGTTAACATAATGTGAGACTCATTAACCTAACTTAAAACAACAAGCTGTGGCAGAGCTACCTGCCTGCTGCTCATACAAATGTTTGTTCATATAAGAATACGGCTTCTTTTACAGTACTGCTTTCTTTTCCTGTCTTTTACCAGCATAAACTAAACAGCTATGGTGGCACTGGAGTCTGACACAGAGTTTTTAAAAAGGACTTCATAATTTCTGTTTTTCATTTCTAATCCTGCTGTGAACAAAAACACCAAAGACTGAAGACATGGACATTTTGATTTGATTTCTCCCAGGAAAGGCATCAGCGGCATCATGCAGTTCAAACAGTGCTGAAGCACCTGCATAACGTTTTCATGGAACATAAAACATGGCCGGACTTTTGTCTGCAGGCCAGCCGCAAAGTTGAAGTGTAGCTTTACGCCAATGTGAAAAAATGTATGTCAAAACATTTATCGTGGTTTTCATCGTTCTGCAGAGAATGACGGTGATCTGTGTTGGAGAATATGCTTTACTTTTGTAAATTTATAAGATAAACTTCTGTAACAAAGCACTGAAAGTTCAGGCGCATTGCCATAAATGTGTCTGAAAAAGTGAAGGTTTCAGGAATGTGAAGAAAAATCCGCTCTGGTGTTTGTGCTTGTGAATGAGTCCAGTTTCCTGTATTCTTTCATGTAAATAAGGCTGCTGTGAAACATGAAGAGAAATCACTGGAGCATACAGTCACCGGCCACTTTGTTAGGTACATCTCTGAAACCACATTCAGTTAGTTAATCACATGGCAGCAATTTACATTTACACATAGTCAAGACAAACTGCTGAGCTCTGGAGGAAAAAGAGGGTCCAACCTTGTACTAACAAGGCATAACTAATCAAGTGGCCAGTGACTGTAGTTGGATGAATAAGACACTTTGAAACAAGAAGCAGTCTCACATATCAGAAAATAGATACGACAGCAATATATTAGAACACCAGAAGTAATTTCTAGTAGCCAAAGCTTAGTGTATGCAGGTCAATGTACAATTTACAAACTGAACCAGCTGTACATGGATCAGGATCAGGAAATACCTGCAACCTTCTGTCACATATTCAGTTTATCTCAGAGTTGGGCCTTAAATCCTGCAAACCTTTCTCAGTCATGTATTTCATTATGTGTGACTTAAGGAAAGTAAAAAAAATCTTGCAAAATTTTACTGAAACAGGAGAAAATCTTTTCAGCCAACGTTCACCAATTATAATTTAGAGAAGTAGAAGACTTTATGTCAGTGAAGCACAAATAAGTACATGTATATACCAATATAGCGACTCACAGGGTGCTTTATGAGCTATAGGTATTACACTGCCAGTGCTGGGTTGGACCCCCTTTGCCTTCAAAATTGCCCTAATTCTGTGTCAAAGATTCAACAAGGTGGTGGAAACATTCCTCAGAGAAATTTGGCCCGTATTGACATGATGAAGTTGCTGGAGATTTGTTGGCTGCAAATCTGTTATGTTGTAAGGTAAAGAACTACAATAATACAGAGAAAAACCCAACCAGGTGACCCCCTGTGAGGAAACAATTGGCATCAGTGGGAAGGAAAAAACACAGAGGAATACATACACATAGCATATCAGACTTGAATACACTCACTGGAACAAAGTCTGACAATTGCTCATATAATCAATTGCCCTCCCTGTTAGATGTCATGTTTCACAACATGAAAAAAATATCAGCAGCCTCGTGCTTGCATTTACAGAAGCACTGCATCTGCTGTACATTGTAATAAATTCAGGATCGGGTTTATTTTGCACAAAGGCAGTTTTCAGCTGAGGTGGGTATGAAGGTGTGGAATTTCACAAATGAAGAATAACAGACTTGGAGCTTTTGAGTTGCTTGATCAAGTGGACTGTTTTAAAGGCAAATTAGGTGACATTTGACCACTAGAGGGCAGAAACACTGTAAAACAACCTCAAAGAGCCCTTCAGTGGGATTTACAACTCAATGTTAAATCTACGCTGTAACTTACTTACCTAGGTATGTGCTGATGCAGCTTGTAATGACTGTAATTTGCCTATTCCAGCACCATCTAGTGTTTCATTAGAGAAACTGCAGAACAGCTGCACAGCCTGCAGCCCAGGCTCTACATAAATTCATTGCATAAGCCTAAATCAGACTTTAAGGGAGTACCTGTAATTACCTATTAGTACTAATTTTGTCTAATTGAACATATGAAAACAAGTTGATGTGACATAGTGCCTACATTTAAAAACAACAACTAAAAGCAGTACAGTTTGGCACCACTGGTGACTCCTTTACATTTTCCAGACTCCTTTGATTCCAAGGTTTATTCTAAGTTTAGCCCACATGTTGTCTGTCTAAGTTGGTCTCCATCTATCACAGCGCGTTTTGAGTTTGACTTACAAAGGCGTGAAGCTATTATCCGCCTACTGTCTGTCATCACTAATATCTGCGTTATATTGTCCTTCTGCATTTAAAGCATCAGTTAACACCTCTTCTTTCTTTTTCTTCTCAGTTCACAGCCTCCATGTATTTCATGTTTATTAGACGTGATAAAGATGCCAAGAAATGAAAGCATTTTAAACATTTTGACTTCCAATCTGCAACAAGGTGTAAACAAAAATTTATAGATTTGTCATATAAGGCTCATATGTTGCACATGTTAACAAAGAGCGGTTTATTTACACATTGACTCTGCACCAGGCAACATTAGCGTTTTTGGCCGCCTAACAGAATAACATCCAATCGACAAGCTCCTTTTAGCTCTGTCTCTTTTATATAGTCCATCTGATTGCTGAAATCATTAAGATCCATCTTCTGCTGGAAAGAAAATACACATATGTGGTCCTTAGAGTCTGTATTTTAAGCAGATTGTCCTCTTTCCCCCAGATTTTGGCAGGGGGAAGCCTATTGTAGTATTTGTGCCTTCTATTGAACGTTCACTTGTCCCAAATTGAGCTCTGTAATGTGATCCTTTCTTCAGCAAGCCGGCATGAGAAAGCAGGCTCTCTGTGAGGCTGAAGCATTTTTAACAAGCTTTCATTATTGTTGGAGGTGGTAGGCAGTAATTACACACAAAGCCCCTCATCAGAATCCTGTTTAGTAACAGCAAACCTGAATATCTCCAATCATTCCCAGTGCTGCTAAAAAAAGAAAAAACAAAACAAATGACTTAGGTTGGGAGTTTGCTGGCCGTTAACTAAACGGTGAATTCATTATATTGTGAGCCTTCTCACAACTCTCTGACTCCGCTGCAATCCTTCTGGGATTATAGCCTGTCCAAGACCTGGAGATCTCAAGGCTCTGGCTCATATAGCACCACAGTGCCAGAGCTGGACCCGGTCTTCTAAAAACATTTGGCTCGAGGATTAATCTGAAGCTAACACAGGAACAGAACATCATTTTTAACCTAACAAGACATAGATTTATACTTCCATCTATGGTACTGAAAAAAAATAATGTTGACTGCAATGGAGATGTTTTTGTTTCAGGGTCTGATCTCTTATAGCAAACAGGCCTGCACAACGCAAAACAATTTGTTTGAAGATATAAAATGTGGTACCTCATCATGGGGGTTTATCACTCTTTCCACATGGAGGCAAGATCTTAGAGTTAACTTCAAAGCACGGCCCCAAGAGCCACTTTTAGGTGTGTCTCATTCATTGGGAAGCAGTCCCACATGGTTCCTATTGGAAAAACTTAAATAAGCTAGCTGTAAGCAGTTCATTAAGCTTATTAGACATGCTCCTGCTCAACCAACCTGTTAGTCTCAACCAACAAGTATTTTCTTTCATAACACCAAAAAAAAAAAAAAAGAGTTTGAAAATTCCTTCAGTGAAGCACAAATCTTACTTTAACATGCAGCAAGTTTTACTCATCGTGTACATCGAGTTGTAGCGGGCTCTCTACTGCCCCCTGTTATCAGAGCTCAAAACAAATCCCACTGGTTGGGCAAATTTGTAGGTAATTTCTATTGGGAAAACTGCGCTAAAGAACAGTGCATAGCCACAACCAGCACCACCCGGGCCTGTCTCAAACGCAAACAGTTGTTTCTTCAAGCCAAGTAAAAGATGAGCAGAAGACATCCAGCTGCGCAGCAAAAACTAGTACCGACACACGGTGCTACTTGGAATACAACAGATGAGCCAGTTCAGGTGGGGGGGTTTGTTTTTCCCCATTAGTCTTATAAAGCGACGGAGTATAGATGTCTTTAATGGATTTGAAAGTTTAGAAAATGACTGGTGCAGTGCAGAGAAAAATTGGATGGGGATAAAGAAAGCAGAAATCAGAGACTCTCATAGACTTCCTGCTTAATACCACCAGATGTCGTCGCAACACTACTAACTGTGATGGGCTTTTCTATTCAGCGGGTAGAGGAGGAGTTCATATTACTGAGGGGGGGGGAGGCTTCTGTTTGTTTGTTCAGATTTTGACAGGAAAAGCATCATGCCTGTTATAAGTCTCAGCTTTCCAACACAGGAAAGCCTCCATCACTATGATAAGTGCTATGAGCTACAAGTCTACCGCTGGAACTTAAGCTAAACTATCTTTTTATGATTGCTTTGTTGTTATTATTATTACTATTATAATTAAGGTATGAAATGGAAATCTCACAGGAGTGTAATCCAAATTCAACGATTGTTAAATAATTTTTAAGTCTGTATTTAATCCAAAACAATAGTAATAGTAAGTAATAAGCGACCAAATGCTGAAAAATCTATATACACACAACTGATAAAGCTGAAAATCAGCTTTGACTGTGCTCCTCAGGCCATTACGCCACATTGTATTAAACACAAATATCCATCCATCCATCCATCGTCATCCGCTTTGTCCGGGGTCGGGTCGCGGGGGCAGCAGCCTAAGCAAAGAGGCCCAGACCTCCCTCTCCCCAAATATCACTTTATAAAATATACCTGGCAATTTATTAGGTACAGATTGCTCTTAATGGGCCGGGGCACCCCTACTGGCTTCTAAGCTGCCTAAATTCTTTGTGATTCAAGATGCAGGAAACACTCCTTAGAGATGTTGTCCATGCCATCCTGCTGGAAGAGCCATTAGACGCTGTGATCATAAAGGGATGAGCGTGGTCAACAACATTGCTAAGGAAGACTGTGGCATTTAAAGCACAGTTGATACTACGGGACAGGAACCATTGGTACAAGTCAGGAGGGATCCACGCCTTTATCTTCTCACCGTACCTGTCATGGATCGCTGTGTGGCAGGCAGGATGAGGACCCAATCGCAAAACTCACAGACTCAGGGGATGAACTCAAAAAGCAGCTTTATTGCTGACAAAGGATGACAGGAAATACAAAACTAAACTGGGAAAAACTAACATAAAGCTCACCAAGGAACACAGGGGAATCACACACAGCATGAGGGGGAACGCGACACAGAACTGAGGGAGACTCAGACATAAATACACAGAGGGTTAACGAGGGAAGTGGGAGCACACGGGGAACACAGGTGACACTGATAATCATAACAAGACACGGCAGGAGTGAACGCCACACTGGTGGGAGATGGGCAAAGTAAAACAGGAAGTACAGAGGTTCAGACAGGAGGAGAGAGAGCACGGGGAAAACACAGACATAACGGGCTGGGGAAAACATAGAATAAACACAAAGAGAGACTAGGGCTCATGACTACACAGAGGGGCACACAGGGGGTAAGAGTCACGAAGGGAAAACACTTAGGGAACAACACAACAGGGCAACTCAGGAAACATGGCCTAAATAAGGAACAAAATACAAAAATACACAAAAACTAAGAATACTGGGCCAACATGGCCCAGGACCATGACAGTACCATCCAAATGTCACAGCAGAAATCAAGATTAGCCAGACCAGGTGATGTTTTTCCATTTTCCTGTTTGTTTCCCATGATCTTGTGTAAGTTTCCTTTCTTAGCACACAAGAGTGGAACCTGGTGTAGTCTTCTGCTGCTGTAGTCCACATTCTTCAGTTTGGCATGTTGTGCATTCACAGATCCTTTTATGCATATCTTGTTTGTAACAAATGGTTATTTGAGTTACTTGCCTTTCATCAGCTGCAGTCTGACCCTTTTCCTCTGACATCATAAAGGCATTTTCACACAGAGGAAGGCTTGCTATCAACGCACAGCTGCACTCGTTATAATAGCATGGTTCTGCAGCAAAGCCCAAACTGCAAAGTCACTTCATGCATCCCAAAAGGTTGATTCTGTTCATCTGGACATTTTCAGTGGGAGAAACATTTTGTCACTCATCCAAGTGACTTTAGTCTCAGCTGACTGCAGGTTTCCCCAACCTTATAAACAGTCATTTTAACCAACATTTTAAGTCACTTCATGCATGTTTCCCAGTGTTTGCAAACAGGCTTTTATGCTCCAAGTTCTCTATCATGTCTTCTTTCACGCTGCACAAATGTCTTTCATACTGAAAGAAAGTAGCAAACATTTCTTTCAGTCTGATGTACATCAGTGGTTGTAGATTCTTGTTTGCATTCATTTAAATCTAAAAGGTACAAGTGCAATCAGTGAGCCAAGAGGTGAATTAATGGGGATGAGGAACTTCTACCAAAGAGCTTTTTTTTTTTTTGAAAATGAATGAATTAATGCAAGAAAGAAAAAAAAAGAAAGAAATGAGCTTATTAAGATTTTTGTGATATTGTTTAGGCATGTATTTCTTTCTTTATGCATATTTCAGTTATTATTCATTGATGACGTGTTTTGGTGCGTGTCTCTTTTCTGCATGCTCCACTTTATAAACAGTATAAACAACATGCTTAGAGTTCACCTTTTGCCTGTGTAGAATAAATAACTAGGTCTTTTGGTTATCGGTTGATATGTTAGTGCTTTGTCAGCAAACAGCTGTTTTGGGTAACTTTTTAACCGAAACATTATTATTAAACATTCAAGGGAAGTTTGAATGGTAAATGGCCTGCATTTGTATGACCCCAAAGCGCTTCACACTACATTCAGTCATTCACCATCACACATTGGCGATGGCAAGCTACATTGTAGCCACAGCTGCCCTGGGGCGCACTGACAGAGGCGAGGCTGCCGGACACTGGCGCCACCGAGGCCCTCTGACCACCACCAGTAGGCAAAACGGATCAAGGATATTTGGCATGCAGCCAGGAGGCAGCCTGGGATCAACCACCGACCTTCTGATTAGTGGCTGACCTGCTCTGCCACCTGAGCTACTGCTAATCTTCCCTAAACGTTTACATCCCAGGACAATGGCTAATTCTAGACAAATGGAGTTAAAATGTAGTTGACGGAGCCTTTGAATGAATCCATCAGTGTCTTCTGTGGGATCCATTCAACTGTTGAGAAATCCTGAAGATGCAGAGAAGGTGATGTCGTGCCATGAGGTTGTCAAGATGTAACTTTGGACTTGTGGCAAATTACTGTTTAACGTTTTGACAGGGCAGTTAAGCAGTTAAATGTGGCTGCTCTCGTTAGCAACCCAGATGGAACAACTACAGTTAGGAACACTTGGATTAAATGCTTTAAAAATTAAAAAAAAAAATTAACTTGATTACAGAAATCCAAGGATATCAGTTGATGTGTATAACACAAACCTTTGTCTCACCAGGTGCTTCTTCCAGAAATAAGTGCTCTCTGCAGTCCTACAAAACACTAACCACAGTGTATGATTGATTAGCTTTTAGAACCACCTTTAGCAGCAATAACTTGAAGCAAATGTTTTCTTTATGACTTTATCAGTCTCACATTGTTGTTAAGGAATTTCGAACCACTCTTCTTTACAACATTACTTCAGTTTATTGAGGTTTTTAAATATTGATGTTTGTTTAGGCTCAGCTCTCTTAAGGTCTCGACACATCATTTCAATCGACTTGAAGTCTGTACTTTGACTGGGCCATTGCAACAGCTTGATTCTTTTCATTTTCAACCCTTCGGTTAAAGATTTGCTTAAAATCATTCGCCTGTTGGGTGACCTAATATTGGCCCAAGGAAATGACCTCACATTTGACTCTAAAATACTTTGGTATACAGACGAGCTCACTTTCAACTCAGCGACTTCAAAACAAGCCCAAATCATCACCACCACCAGGTTTGACAGCTGCTGTATTTGTGTGATATTGCGAGACGTCTCCATCTAACCTGAGAAGATACTTTCTCCTGGCATCCCTTCCAAACAAGAGATACTTATTCAGTCTTTTTATACTGTTATAATTAGACTGTATCTCTTAGAAGCAACAGAGGGCAAGTTCACTGCTGATAATCGTCCTCCTTGGAATGCTCCAGACTAACAAATTCACAACACTCACACTCATTGGTGCTCAGTTACTCAAGTGCATTGGGTGTCCCTGTTTTCCACATACTGCTTCAGGATTGGTGCTTCATTTAAATAATGTTAAGGTGGAATATTTCATGTGTTGTTGTATGTAAATATTTCAAAACCT